CACTCACTCACTCACTCACTCACTCACTCACACACTCACACACTCACTCACACACACTCACTCTCACACACACACACACTCTCTCACACACACACTCACTCTCACACACACTCACTCACACACTCACTCACTCGCTCACACACGCACACTCACACTCTCACACACGTGCACACTCACACACACGAGTTGTGTTGTTTGTAGAGTTCGTAGTTTTGTTTTTTTTATAGTGTAAATTTATTCGATCACTTAGAAATCAAAACGGCAAACGCTAGCTGCTCTATAGATGAATTAAACTCATTCTGTAATTGATGGGTTTTACATTAAATGATTTCATCTGAATAATTACTTGTGTCCTTTTAAGAGCTACCTTACAGTAGAATAGATTTTTGTTTGCATCATTGAACCACTGTTTTCTTGTTTATGACTGTGAAGCTACTTTGAAACGGTCTGTATTGATTGTATAGTTCAGTGTTGATTCAGTTCAGTATAATAACTGTAAAGTTCATCAGTTGTGCAGACAGACTGTATATACGGTGTATTTTTGCACATACATGTACATGTAATTTGACACATGCACAGTGAACAAGCAAAAGACACAAGATAGTAGTTTTACATTTGTCATATCTGTGTGCAGTTTGGTGTGTATATGGATAAGAATTCAATGTTTTTTGTTTTTTTTCTAGAGCTTTTATGCAAAAGCACCATTTAATATGAGTAAAGATAGTTTTGAAAAACATGTTTGCTTTTGCAAGAGATGCGTGTGTGCATGTTTAAGTTACAAGTCTAGAGAAAAGGAGCCATAGTTTCACAAATTGTATGCAGGCAATTGTTTAATAACTAATATTTTGTGTCAGGCTGAAGATCCACAGGAACTGCACAATGCCTGTCTGTCACATAAATAACCTGCAGTCCAGTTTCGTTCATTAAAGTGAAGGTTTGTGTCTCTGTGAACGCTTGACCTCACAGGACGGTGGTTATGCCGATCGCTAGCGAGTTTGCTCCAGATCTGGTGCTGGTGTCGGCAGGGTTTGATGCGGTGGAAGGACACCCTCCTCCGCTGGGAGGGTATAAACTCACCTCCAGATGTAAGCTTTACTATGAACTCACTTGTGTCCGGCTGTATTCGTTATTTGGATGGTTTCAGTAAAAGCCACCTATGTGGGTGTGTGTGACAGGTTTGGGTCACCTGACTAAACAGCTGATGGGGTTAGCTGGGGGTCGAGTGGTGCTGGCGCTGGAGGGAGGTCATGACCTCAGGGCCATATGTGACGCGTCCGAGGCCTGCGTCTCAGCGCTGCTGGGGATAGAGGTAAACGAGTTCCCATCATCCTTTACTTTGTAAGTTTTCATTTGCGTAAGGTGACTTCTTGTTACAGATAGAGTGGAGTTTGATTGCTTGTGTTTTTGTGTTGAACAGCTAGAGCCGCTTTCTGCAGATGTCCTGAAGCAGAGACCCAATGAAAACGCTGTGAGCTCCATAGAGAAAGTCCTAGAAAATCACAGTGAGTCATTCAGATCTTCATTTCTTTTCAAGAAGAATCGTTTACTCCTGTCAAATATTGTTCCAGGTTTAGTATGTCTCACAGTGGACATCTACAGGGCAAAACGAACATTAAAATACAGTTTGACCGTTAGCGCTAGTGTGATAGAATCACTTACTGACCTCTTCTCTGTGTGAATATTTTTTATTTTATATACAGACCCCATAATCCAGAACGGTTTGTGTTGTGATCGAGATGAGCTGTACATGTTCTCAGAACCCTGTGAATCAAAGCCGTGATCGACGCCATGCTGAACTCTGAATTTGGCTTGTTTTTACACACTGAAGGACAATGTCAGTGGAGCTGAACTGACGCTGGAAGGGTCCTGTGGAGCTGATTGTGTGTCCTGTTCTCTGTGTTTAGGTCAGTACTGGCGGTGTGTCCAGCGGGTCGCGTCCAGCGCAGGTTTGTCTCTGCTGGAAGCTCAGAGAGGCGACTCTGAGGAGAACGAGACGGTGACGGCAATGGCTTCTTTATCTGTCGCAGCATTGGAGAAAAGGTACATCCGCTTTCCCTGCTTTCTTCCCTCCACCTGTCCTTCGGTTCTGTCGCGTGACCGGCTTTGCTGTGTTTCTGCTCAGGATGGAGGATGAGCCCATGGAAGAGGAGCCGCCGATGTAGGGGACGAGCGTTTTCCCAGAGCTCTGAGCTCTTCTGGGTCTCTGTGTCAGTTTGCCTGGGTCTCGTCTGATGGAGATCCTCGCTGAGCAGAGAGAGATGTCAGGGTAAAAGCTAACTCACCACGTTAGCACTGTAGCCCGCTAGCACTGTGGCCCCAACGCAACGTGCTCGAGCTGAAGTCACTTGAGACATTTGTTTTTGGAGGTTTCTGTCCCATTGGCTCGATGCGCACACACCTCGTCGCAGATCGTTCTGACAGAGGGACGGATGGAAGGCCGGGGTCCAGAAACGTTTCTCAGAGAGGGAGTGCCTTAGAGACCGCTTGAACTACGAATTAATTCTGAGGAACTTTGCCTTAATTCAGTAATGTTCCAGAATTCCAGTGGGTCGACTGTTTGGAGAAGAGAAAACCTTTTCAGCATGTTTACTTGGACAGCGTTCGCGCTTTAGTCCTAAACACACGTTGTCTAGCGATGACTGACTCTCCTGTGGTTTGGTTTTTTGTCCAGTGCGCTGTACAAATACAGCAGAAACTGTCTGAACCTCCAGTGAAGCGTAACAGTGGCTCCACACACAGCAGCTGAAGGCAGGCCTTGCTGTTCAGAGTGGGTTATTGACTGACGTGCATTACAGGAAAACTACACCTGGACTGAACCGGAGACCTGGTCTGACCAAAGCATGAGTTTGCGTCTTGTGTTGCACCTTCCTCTAACCGCGGTGGAGGTGAACGGGTTTTGCCTTTGGATGGGAAAAAGAACCAGACGAGAGACGACTGTGTACCAAATCAGCTCGTGTCCCTCTTGAGCCAAACAAACCTTGCTAATGTTGTAAACCCGAGCATGAGGCGGGAGCAGTACCTACAACATCAACACAAATATGCATGAGAAATCACCAGCTTCACCTCTAAAAGAATCCAGTTAGTTCGTCTTACTTGGCAACTCTTGTCAACTTTTAAAATGCTCAGATTTTTTAGTTCAGTTACTGATTATTTTCAAGGTTTTAGTAATTAATTAGTCATTCCTGTTTTGTACAGTTTTACTTCATTCCTTTTCGTTTGATCTGAAATTTCAGATATTTGCACGTTTCACTTGACTTTGCTTATGATTATTATTTGTGCTAGTGGATTTGAGTTCCAGTATTTGCGTTACATTTGGTACCTTGTACTTTAAACATGAGTGCTTTATGACGTTCATGGGTTTTCAACCATTCAATCACGATGACTGATTGTGTACTTCCATGTTTTGTTCAAAGTAGATTTGTATATGAAAGGAAACCTAAATATATGAATATGAAAATCTGTCCTTCACCTCTGTTCTGTGTGCATGAATGTAATATTTCTAAGCAGCACACGCTGGTGTCAAATATACAAAACCTTGTTTTTATGACAGTTTAGGAGTATATAATCAGCTCTGTCTGTGGAACTAAACCTGCTAAACACACTTGATTGATGCTCAGTGATTTTCAGGGTTTATTTGTGAACGTGCTACATGCTGATTTTTAGAGAGAAAAATAAAGTCTATGACAGTAATTGAAATAAAATTAAAAAAAAACATTAATCCAAAGCATTTCGATTGTTTCCAGCTGCAAAAAAAAAACTTTTACTATGCATGGTTTGTTTTAGTGTTATTTTATTCACATACTTCACTAAATTCTAAAACTCCCACAACTTTGTCAGTTTTGAATAAAGTTGTAGATGGAGAAACAAAAGGAAATCATCGTTCATCACCTGCAACAAACAGAGCATGCTTCTCAACACAAACAGATGTTAACCTTCATTTACTAATCAAATAAAGCTGTGACAATGTTCACAAACTGTTGCTTTAGCCAATTTATTAAATTGATTAGTAATTTTTATTTTTTTAATTATTTTAATTGTAGTTATCTATTGACTTTGTTTTTGACTGGGCTTATATAGAGGACTTTGACTTGCTGACTGAAGCTCAGTATAATATCTGGTCTGATTCATGAGCTCGGGTATCTTCATGATCTTGTATCGTGCCGTAAGCGTGTTGTTTTGTCTCACAGGACCATCACACCGTGCTGAAGACCGGTTCTTTTCAGAACATGTAGAAGGGAAAAGAATGGACTGGCCATCCAAACTTTTTTAAAGATGTGTTTTGATAAAGATTATGAAAGTTTGCTTGCAATAATCATTTGATTTTGTCATATATGATTAAGAGGGGGAGTGAAGGATCCTTAGATCCCCACGTGTAAATTGTGTTGTGTATTTATTTTAGTTTTTTCTTATTCATTTATAATCATTTTATAATCATTAGTCATTCATATGATTTATCTGATTATTTTTATTATTTGATTATTATCATTTGATCATTTTTATTATTTATCATTATATTAAGTATTTTTATTGTCTATTCATTTATTATATTTCTGTATATTATATTTCTTATACATTTTCCCTAGCTTATGCACTTTCATTGTTGTCCAGTCTCATGCGTGTGGGGTTTCATGACCTGGTTCGTGTGTATGAATAGAGATAAGAGGCAATGTTTATGGGATGTTGCTGTGAAGTAGTATAACAGCACATGTTGAATTTGTCAGACGAAGTTTGAACATTGAGACATACGCAACTAATATTGTTCAATAAACTCTTTACCATCATGACTTCGTCTCCTGCTTCTGCTCTCCTCACCAGGCGTGAGACTGTTAAACACTCGTTTTGGGTATCACCAGCTCTGCTGACTACTTCTTCTGTTACTGGACAAACTGCTGATATTTTCTGACGGGATCTGGCGTCCGGGGCTGGATCCTAATTATTATCTTGACGTGTTAACGTGGATTTAAGGGTACACACTAGTGATGGGAAGTTCGGATCATTTTACCGACTCGGACCTTTGAGTCTCGTTCAGCAAAACGAACGAATCTTTTTTCGAGTCATTTCGTTCATTTTAGCAAAATATAATTAAAATGTTAGTAAATACAGAAATACATTGCCATTTTGAATATTGCGTTGCCATTTTGAATATTGCATTGCCATTTTGCATACTGCATTTTAAATTGAATTTCGCTACCTATATGCTTCCATAGATCTGCTCATGTTGCACCGGATTTCATTTTAGCCGTTTTTACAGTGTTGCGCATTATAACCAATCACACACGATTCTGTTGATCTTAGGAATGCAATGGCCAATCAGATATGTTCAGATGAGTCATTGCTGAAACTCATCAGTTTTGAGTGCACACGCGCTCGCTGACTGAAGCTGTTTCTCAATACCAAGTACGCAAAGTTCGGACTTGTGTCCTCGGTAGTTCGGACTTCGCAATAGTGATGGGAAGTTTGGATCATTTTACCGACTCGGACCTTTGAGTCTCGTTCAGCAAAATGAACTGATCTTTTTTCGAGTCATTTCGTTCATTTTAGCAAAATATAATTAAAATGTTATGTGTTACTTCCCTAATACGTCTACTACTTACGCAAACGTTGATCACACTACAAACAATACAAAACTGCTATAATAAACAGAAAAGATGAATTAATTGTTTACCTGGGTCTTCAGTCTGATTAGCTCACCTCAGCTCTTATCTGACAAGACTTCGGGTTTGGGCTTATGGGGCTGTCACGTGATGAACGAACGACTCAAACCCGAAGACTCGAACCAGGTGAACTACTTGACTAACTCCAGTACAGAACCTATAGGATGTTGCGCATGTGCGACTGAACGAATCACTCCCCGAGACGACTCGTTCTTCCCAAGTCACATTAGAGATTTGTGACAAGATCTACCTATTGAAGAATTGATAGAAAAAGACATCCCAGATTGTGCTTCAAATTTGAGGCCTTTTACTTTGTATTTTAATTAGTGATGCGCCGATCATAGCTGATTAAGAATTCAGATTTTCTTTTCTTTCTTTCTTTTTTTTTTTTTTAACTAACAAATTGGATTCTGATACTGATATTGATTTTTAGGCAAATGTATTTATTGGCTAGTTGCTTTATAACAAACAAACTGGCTTTAAACACAAATATCTAGCCATTTGAAATTAGAGGCAACCACTGCATTTTAATCACGATCATGGCAGTTGTTTTTGATTTGATTTGATTTCAGATTAATTTCAGGATTTAAAACAAAAACAGAATGGTCTGACTTTAGGTGTTATTTATTTATTTGCTACATAAAACATCTGCACGAAACAAAAACAGCAGGTCTGAATGAGACGCACTCTCTGACAGCAGGTGGCGCTTATGAACAGGGTTGCCAGGTTTTCGCAATAAAACTAGTCCAATCGCGTTTCGAGGGGGGTTCCCCTGTAAAAATCGCATTCCGG